CCATTCACAACAGCCAGGACTGGGTCAGGCCAAAGCCAGGAGCCACGCTCTTCATCATGTCTTGCACATTGGTACAGGGGCCCAAAAACTTGGTCCAATTTTCACTGCTCTCCCAGGCCCATCAACAGGGCGCTGGATCAGAAGTGTAGCAGCCAGGACTTAAGCCAGCACCAGTATGGGTTGCTGCTCCACTTCCTGTCTAGCTCCCTGCTAATGTGCCTGGGAAAGCAGCAGAGGGTGGCCCCACTGAGGCCCCTGCATCCATGAGGGAGTCCAGGAAGAAGCTCCTGGCTCCCGACTTCTGCCTGGCTGTTGCGGCCTTGTGGGGAGTGAATCAGCAGACAGAAGGTTGCTCTCTCTCTCTCCCTGTCTCTCTCTCTCTAACTCCATCTTTCAAATAAATAACTGCTTAGAAAAAAAAAATAAGCACTGATAATGTGAACATGGAGAATGTTTTATGACTTTGATTTAATATGGTTAATACACATCTTTTTTTTTTTCAAAATATTTTCCTGAAATTTGTAACTTTAGCAAGATGTTACATAAGACTTTTAGTTGATTGTATTTGTTGTGTTAAATTTGAAAGTTAAAAAACTGTTTTGATTTTCAGGTACATCATTGTGGTGGAGCATGATCTAAGTGTATTAGATTATCTCTGACTTCATCTGCTGTTTATGTGGTGTACCAAGTGCTTATGGTGTTGTCACTGCCTTTTAGTGTTAGAGAAGGCAACTTAAAATTTTTTTCATATAATTTTCTCTGCCGTTCTAATGCTGATAAGCTCTATATTATTATTAATACTGAGTACAGAGTTAGAGATAAAGGGGGAAATAAAGAGGTCTTCCATCTGCTGGTTCATTCCCCAAACAGCTGCATCAGCTAGGGCTGTGCCAGGCTGAAGCCACGTGGGTGCAGGGGCCCAAGGACTTGGGACATCTTCCCCTGCTTTCCCAGGAGCATTAGCAGGGAGCTGGGTTGGAAGTAGAGCAGCCAGGGCTCAGACAGGTGCCCATATAGGATGCTGGCATTGCTGGTGAGGGCTTAACCCACTATGCCACAGCGCCAGCCCCAGCTAAGGTTCTTTTGAGTATATGTTTTTATGTTAAAACTTTAAGTAGTTTAAAAATGTTTTTGAAGTCCTGATTTGGGCCAAATAAATGTATCTCTTCATTTATTTTGTGAATGCCTTTCTTCTAGGCTAAGTATACATGTTAAATGACATGGTTAGATTAGCTGTCAAGAACTCCCTAGACTTCTGATACTTGCTTTCTTTTATTTCACTTATATATAGGAAACACTGAAAAGGGGATATTTTACTGCTTACCAAATAATTCCCTGTAGGGGCCAGCGTTGTGGTGCAGTGGATTTAAGCTGCTGCCCACAGTGCTGGCATCCCATATGAGCACCAGTTTGAGTCTTGACTGTTCTACTTCCAGTCCAGCTCCCTGCTAACATACTTGGGAAAGCAGTAGAAGACAGCCCAAGAGCCTGGGCTCCACCCATATGGGGAACTTGGGTGAAGCTGCTGGCTCCTGGCTTCAGCCTGGCCCAGCCCCAGCTTTTGTGGCACATGAGGTGGATAGGAGATCTTCTGTCTGTCCCTCTTTCCCTTAACTCTGCCTTTCAGATAAAATAAATAAGCTTAAGATTAAAAAATAATAATTCATTGTAGAGAGGGATTCTCAGGTTTAATGTTTGTTTACTTTTAGTTATTGAGACCTTTTTGGGTAATGCTGGTAACCTTTGTGTAGTGAAGCCAAAAACCTGATGAGAAAACAAATTTTTTTAATATATTTATTTGAAAGGCAGAGCACGAGATCTTTCATCAGCTGGTTTACTCCTCAAATGGCCACAACGGCCAAAGCAGGACCAAGCTGAAGCCAGGAGCCAGAAGCTTCATCCTGGTCTCCTATATGGGTGTAAGGGCCCAAGCACTTGCACCATCTTTTGCTGCTTTCCTGCTGCAGGCAGTGGCTTTACCTGCTATGCCACAGTGCCGGCCCCTGAGAAAAAAAATCTTGGAGCAATAAAAATCAATTGATAATGAAAGGATGTGTTGGGAGGCTGGCACCATGGCTCACTAGGTTAATCCTCCACCTGAAGTGCTGGCATCCCATATGGCTGCTGATTCTAGTCCCAGCTGCTCCACTTCCAATCCAGCTCTCTGCTGTGGCCTGGGAAAGCAGTAGAAGATGGCTCAAGCACTTGGGCCCCTGCACCCATGTGGGAAACCTGGAAGAAGCACCTGGCTCCTGGCTTTTGGCACACAGATTGGCACAGCTCCACTCCAGATCAGCTAAACTCTGGCTGCAATGGTCATTTGAGGAGTGAACCAACGGAAGGAAAACCTTTCTCCCTGTCTCTCCCTCTCACTCTCTGTAACTCTTCCTCTCAAATAAATAAATAAAATCTTAAAAAATAAGTAAATGTGGATGGCATTTTATAAAAAAAAAAAAAGGATGTGTTTTGTTGTGTGTGTGTACACATATGTCCACACACTCATGGGCACATATATATATGAATGAATTAGTTAACATTTACAATAGATGCATGAAACAAACATGTTGTCGCTTCATTTTATGCAAACCTGTATGTTAGGAAAATACCATAGGAAATTTTGTTTTTTAAGGATTTGGTTTATTTATTTGAAAAATAGAGTTACAGAGAGAGGTAGAGCCAGAGAGAAAGAGGTATTTTCTATCTGCTGGTTCACTCCTAAAGTGACCACTGCAGCCAGAGTTTAGCTGATCCAAAGCCAGGAGCCAGGAGCTTCTTCTGGGTCTCCCACAGACTTGGGCCATCTTCTACTGCTTTCCCAGGCCATAGCATAGAGCTGGATCAAAAGTGGAGCAGCTAGGACTTGTACCAGCACCCTTATTGGAATCCAGTGCTGCAGGCTGGGGCTTTAGTCCACTGTGCCACAGCACCTGCCAGAAATTTAAAATCTATACATAGATTGCTCCCAGGAGAGCCTAGAATTTTGGGAACATTTGGTTTTTAATTGATCTTTACTAATCTGTGAACAATTTTCCTTCCAACAGGCATAAACATTTTCTTGGATGGCTATGTTCCAACAGAAAACTTGAGATTCAGAGATGCATCACTTGTTTTTAAAGTGGCTGAGACAGCAAATGAAGAAGTTAAAAAGATATGTATGTATAAATACCCAGGGATGAAGAAAAAGATGGGAGAGTTTGAGCTAGCCATTGTAGCTGGAGAGTTTACGGATTCTGAAATCATGGTGATGCTTGGGGAAAATGGTAAGTTTTCCTTATCTTATAATATGTAGAAAAGTCTGTTCTGTTAGTTCAGTAAATGAAAAAGTCCATGAAAAAGCCTTAATTCAGTTTTGAGGTTGTCAGCTAGGTTTTCAATTCACAAATTTTTCATTGTAGCCTCAAAATTTTGCAGCAATGTATATTTCAATCTCATTAATTCAAGTTAATACTTCTTGTTTCATGGCCTTCAATGGAGATGTTTTTCTCAGCTGGCTTTTCAGTTATTCAGCTTGCAAATTGACTAGGGAAAAAACATTAATTCCTACGCGTAGTCTAGTTTAAAAAGTTTTTAAATTTTCTACATTTTTATTTGAAATTTATTTTAAATTTAGGATAATTTACCTTTTAAATAGAAGATGCATTACCAGCATGTTTTTCTTTTCAAGATTATTTATTTGGAAGGCAAAGTTAGAAAAAGGCCTTCCATTCCCCGTTCACTTCCCAAATAGCCTCCATGGCTGGGACTGGGCTAGGACAGAGCCAGGAGCTTCATCCAGTCTCTCATGTGGTGGCAGGAGTCCAGGCACTTTGACCATCTTCCACTGCCTTTTCAGGCACATTAGCAGGGAAGCTGGAACACAAGTGGAGCAGCCAGGACTTAAACTGGCACCATATGGGATGTCAGTGTCCCAGGTAGTGGTTTAACCTGCTGTACCACAATGCTGGTCCCATATTACCAGCATTTTCTATGTTAAAGACAATGAATTTGAAAACTAAATAATCTGTACTTACTACTTTCATGACTTAACTGATTTGAATTATATTCCTATAATTTAGAATGATAGGAGAAAACTTTTCTATATAAATGTTATTGTAATAAATCAGTTAAATATAGAAATTTTTAATTGGGTTGCAGTAATAACTATTTCATGTAAGTAAAATGTAAGATGCTGGTATCACAAAACAGCCTAGTGAATTATGTGCATTGATGATGTCACTAAATAATTTTGTTAAACAATCTCAAGACTTAACACTTTATAGGCCTGTCCATTTTTAAAATGGCCATTATAAGGTTGGAATAGTCTTTGGTCCTTTTATTAGCTTAGAATGATTCATTTATTTGAAAGGCAGAAAGAAACAGCTCTGTCATTTGCTGTCTGTTCTCCAAATGTCCCTGACTCCTAAGACTGGAACAGGTAGAACCAGGAACTGGGAACTCAGTCTGAGTCCCCAACATGGGAGGCAGGGACCACCACTTGAACATACCAGGGTGAACCTTAGTAGGAAACTGGAATTGGGACTGGAGCTAGAACTTCAACCCTGGCAGGCATCCAAGCAATATATGGAATGTCTCCTGCTCTCCAAGATAAAGTGTGTAACCTAAGGAATTAGATCTCTTTGCATCTGTTTCTCTTCTCTATCTCTCAAATAAAATTTTTAAAAATAAAAATGTATCCCCAAACCATCATTTCTCTCCATAGCAACAGCTTTTATTGTGATCCAAATACTATAGTTATATATATATATATATATATATATATATAAAGTACAACTGGTTTTGAAGACTAAGAATGAAATGTAAGTTATCTCACTAATAATAGTCTAGTCATACTGGGTTAGAAATAAATTTAGTTTTACCTGTTCCTTGTCCTTTTAAATGCAGCTGTAGAAAAATCAAAATCAGACACTAAATTTGCATTATATTTCTACTGACCAGTGCTAAGACCATGCTCCTGCTCTGTATTAATGGAATACTGCTAGTGCTTATACTAAATACTCAGTCATGCAAGTTGCAAGATAACAAGCTGTTTTTCTACCAATATAGAGTTCTAGGTTTTAAATCCCTTTTTCTTTTTACTAGTGTATGAGTTTCCAAGTAAAGAGTACCTAAGCCACATGATTCTCCCTTAAGAGCTCCATAATTTGTTTGAGTTATGAAAGCATTTTAATTTTTTTAAATATTTTAGCTACTCAGTTTGTTTTTTTTTCTCCTTCATTTTACAGCTTACTTTATATGGGCTCAAATAATTTCATAAAATGGTATTTGTAATTAATAAACAAAATAAATATATGAAAACCTAAAAAACTTATTGAGAATGTTATACTATCAATCTTATACTCAAGATTTATCATTGTAAATTTGTTTCTAAGAAACTGCTCTAAAAATACAACTATAACTAAGCAGGAAAAATCTCTCCAAGAACTGATTGGTCTAAATCTTTACCTCTGGGATAATAAATGTGATTATCACCTTTACCTCTTACAAGCATCTCTTTATATGCCAGTGCCATGCCTTGACCTCTTTTCCAATGTTCCCCACTCAATATTACATTGAACTTGCTTTTCACATACACAAAAAAGACAGACCTGTGATGCCTGCCTGGACACGTATGAACTTGAGCTCCTGCACCCATGAGGGAGACCTGGATGGCATTCCAGGCTCCTAGTTTTGGCTCACCCAGCCTCAGTCCCTGCAGCCATTTGGGTAGTGATCTAACTCTCTCTCTCTCTCTATCTCTCTCTCTATCTCTCTATCTCTATCTCTCTGTTTCTCAACACTGCCTTTCAAACAAATAAATAAATTTTTTAAATTTCCTGACCAATGAAAGAGAAGTGGAAGAATTTGACTAGGATTCTAGATGAGTGGGTGGACTTGATTTCATTCAAGAAATGAAAAGTGAAGAATTGAACAAAATTTAGGGGAAAAAATCATAGGCAATAAAGGGAAATACAAAGAGAGGAACACAAAATTCAGACAGCATAAAGTAAAACCCAATTCGGTTTCTGAGTATGAGCCTTTTACAGAGTTTTATGCTATACATTATGTCATGCTTTATATAGTTCTAGATGGTTTATGGTACAAAACTGTATACCCCAAAGCATAAGTGTTAGGAAAAAGAGTTACAGAGTGGTGCCTCCTCACATGGGGCACCATAAATGTTAGGAAAAGAGGTGCAGAATAGAGTGGAGGCCATGTTCAAATTTACAGTCAGACTGAATTTATTCAGAGAAAATAAATCCACAAAGGTGGGTGACCAACTGCCCACATGCACATTGATGGACACATGGCAGAAAGCCCAGAACCCCAGGGGCCGGGCTTTTTTATATTTCATGAGAGCTAGGGGTGGGGGTAGGGTAGGGGGCAGCAAGCAGAGGGGGGTTCCTGGGACTGGTCTTTCAGCTGGCTGTGGGGGGTGGGGTATGAAAATGATAGGGTGTGAGACACAATTGAGATTCAAGGGCAAGGAATACATTCCAATTTTTATCTATCTTTTTGGGCAGTAAATGAGAATGGCTGAGGTTTATGTCTTTGTTCCATCAATAAGTATTATCTTTTATCAGTGAAGTAATAGATTTTTCAATATTATTTGTGACCATTTGAGGTTACTTCATAACACTCTTGGGAAAATGGGATTAAAAGGGAATTTATTTTGATCCAAAAAACTGAAATGCATGCATAATTTTTTACAACATGCATTTTCTGTGAACTTTTTGAATACCCCTCATATATTACATTTGCTTTATGTTCTAATATCAGAATATGATCTCCATGTGAAACATAGCTCCACTGCTCCTTCACTTTGTACACTCTAAGAGTACATGAGAAAGGAGCTAAATAGAGCTGATCTGTGCAAGAATTGACAAAAGGATGTCCTGGCACTTTGACTCCTTTGAAAGTCTGTTCAATTTTCTGAAAGGGAAAGGAAAGGAAATTTACTGAGCTTCTACTCAAGCTAAAACCTTACACATATTATCTCATTTTATACTTACTAAATCTTACTAGAAAGATATTATTATCACCATTTTTAGAGTAAGACACTGAGATTCAGAAAGGTTACACAACTTTCTAAAACTTGCACTACAAATGAGTAAAATAGCATTTATGAGCACATAGTCACAAAAGCAAGTTTGCCTACAAGCTTAGCAAAGTCTCTGCTTTCCATCCTAAAGAAATCCTATACATTATTGGCAGGAGCTTTTTCCAGCCAGGATTGATGAAGAAATACTTCAATGATGGGTTTCTAATTCTCTAGTGGAATTAAGTGACTAAGTTTTCAATTAATTAGAGGAATTTTTAACCTGGAGTACTCTTTAATGGGAGATGGGGGAGGAATTGGATAAGGATTTGCTACTTCCTGTTCTTTGATAAAGCAAGGTCACCAATCTCCATACCTTTTTATACCAACTACATAGTTAAAATTTCTCCAAGGAAAAGCTGTTCCTCTTAATCATTGTGTTATTTAAGGAGCACTTCAGTATGGATCTAGTAACGAGATTTGAACATTTGCCATAGCCATCTTCAGAATATAGATACATGATTTGGGTCTTTTAATGGTTACTAAAGCCTCCTTGTGTGTGCAAGTCTGACTGGATTAGATTATCTCTAATTTTGCATCAGAGATCAAGTTTTGTATTTATGTTCCATATTTAAATTATATTAGTGTATTTCCTTCCAAGAAGACAGATTTCAGTTCTTGGGCTAGGAAACCACATGCATAGTCTCAATTCATGCCCACAGGAGAAGTCCTACTTGTGCAAGCAGCAAGGTTACCATGGGCACTGAGTCATGCCAAGGGCTGCTTGAGTTGGGGTTCCTGCACTGCACCCAGCTCTGAGTATTCCTTCATCCCTCACATGGACCAGCACAAGCTTAAGAGAACTCTGTAGTCAAATGAGTCTTTGAAATGAGATCATGGCAAGAGGCATGACTGCTGGGCAGGGTAGGGGAGAGACTGGACAAAGGTGAGGCTAGGCAGGGCAAGACAAGACAAGACAAAGCAAAGAGGCAGGATAAGAACAGTCAGAGCCAGCTGACCCTCCAACCAGCACACAATCCAGGCCAGGTATTCAGATATTTGAAATGAGGCAGACAAAGGTAGATGGCAAGTAACAGAAACAGAGGGCTACTACCTGCTGCTCAGTAAGGTTCCCAAGGATGGCAGCTCAGAAAACATCCGAGGGATGTCCTTATGATGTCTTCCTCTTCAGAGGGAGGCTGTGATGTAAGGAGACTTCAAAACATTCACTGAAAAATGGAATTAAAAACATAGGATTGCTTTAATGCAAAAAACTGACATCCATTCATAGTTCGTTCATAATATGCATGTTTCCATGAACTATTTTCAAGGTCCCTCATATAAAGGACTTTTGGGCCAGAGTTACCTGAGTTCTACCATTTTCACTTACCAGTCAAGTAACCAGGGAGGCTGGCCTTATGTGTCAGGACCTAGGAAAATGCTAAGGTATCAACTTTGCAAAGTTACACAGGTAAGTAAAATAGACATGTAATTGCTACCAAATAGGAAGCACTCAACAGGTATGAATTGCTGTTATAATTACATTTAATCTCTTCTCTCCAGTTGTTTTCCTTCTCATTTTCTCTTTTGCACTCTTGAGTTAAAAGAAACCTTGGCCGGCGCTGTGGCTCACTAGGCTAATCCTCCGCCTTGCGGCGCCAGCACACCGGGTTCTAGTCCTGGTCGGGGTGCCAGATTCTGTCCCAGTTGCCCCTCTTCCAGGCCAGCTCTCTGCTGTGGCCAGGGAGTGCAGTGGAGGATGGCCCAAGTACTTGGGCCCTGCACCCCATGGGAGACCAGGATAAGTACTTGGCTCCTGCCATCGGATCAGCGCGGTGCGCTGGCCACAGCGCACCAGCCGCGGCAGCCTTTGGAGGGTGAACCAAAGGCAAAGGAAGACCTTTCTCTCTGTCTCTCTCTCTCACTGTCCACTCCGTCTGTCAAAAATTTATAAAAAAGAAGCCTTACCTGTCTTTGTTTTTGCTTTTTAATTTTACTCTAATTTATTCATGGAGAACAGGTCTGTGGCTTCGGGCCTCTGGGAGGGGTTCTTGAGGGCTAACAGAGGACAGCTCAAGGAAGGGCTCCCTCTGCTGAAGTGTTGTGGGGGTAACGGCCTCATCATTTCCTGAACCACACTAAACTCTAAAAACAATTGCAGAAAAATTAACAACTTTTCATTGTGAGACTTGCACACTGTTGTCTGTAATTTCAAAGAAAGCATTGACACATTTACAAAATGTGATCACAAAAATATGGAATTCATAATAAAAAACATTAAAATAGGGAAACATACACAGATCTTGATGCATTTGTGAAATAAAGTCCTGCTGCTTTTTCATCAAATCACTCATGGATAATGAAGTTGTTCTAGTTTTCCAGTTTGCACACCAGGTGGGCATTAGAAATTAGCCAGTGAGATAATGAGCCTTTGGTTTCTCAGTTATAAACACCTAAATGTAAAGGATTCGTTCTATCAAACTAGACTGTGCTTTCATTGTGTGAGTAACGCATCTCTAGTCACTCAACCAGATTTGGAGGGGGCATAAAAACTCCCCCCACAATGAGAGATTTGCTAATATAAAGATGCAAATACTTGAAGTGAAAATCTGGAAAGTGGCCATAAGATAACTACAGCAATTAACCCTGCGGACTTCTGGTAGCTGACTGGCGCACTTGCAAATGCAGTTAGAACAGAAGGTAACAGAATTTTTAAAAATATATACCGAGGAAAATGTGCTACTAACTGCAACACTAATCTGGTGTGACGGGTGCTCTGAGTAGAATTTCAGCCTAGTAGAACCAGTGGCTGAAGACGCATGTCTGGGTGGACCTGGAAGTCCCAGCCGCATGAAGCACACAGGCAGGCAGTGAGCGATGTTGATAATCATTTAAAGCATATAAAAGGCAATGGGAAATGGTGACAACGTAATGGACCGGTCATCTCCAAGTCATTCAAGGTGACAGGTGATTGGACTGAGTTCTGTACAACAGAACTAGACAGTCAGTTTTTATCACTTTGCTGAAAAGGATCCAAATAACAGCAAGCAGAAAGGATTCCTGCAGTAATCCCTGCATCTTTAAGGCAGAGACAATTCTCAGAGCACGGCGGAGACTGTCTGATGCTCACCTGACCTTATGTTGTCATTAGTTTTCTCGCTCCTACCCCTTTTCAGAAAGTAACCCAGTTCCATTTTGGTGAATTGCCTCTCCAGCCCAAAGTCGGAGCAGGACAGTAAATCTCACTTCTGTGAATCTTTCCCCTAGAATAAAGATCCCACCTGTAAATATAAAGATGTAAAAAATAAATAAATAAAATGGATTGCGGCCTTGTTTTGTGGAGGCAAAAGCTGAAAGTAAAAGGAATAGTCATCCATGGGAGAATGAATGAATACATGGTGGTCCATTCATGACCTGACATGGTTTATAGCCATTTAAAAGAATGATTTAGCTTTAACCCTTTAACTTGAATTACCACAATACACCAACTGATATAGGCAACATATAATGAATTCCACTTTGTAAAACAATGAGTTAAAAATGCCCGATAATTTGAGTTGATGTTCGATTACTTGTATTTATATATATACACAGGGATGCACACTCCATGGTTAATAATGACAAGGGAGAAGGAAGACATAAAAACAAAGATTTCAGGTGTCAAAGACCCAACATGTATTATATATCATCTAAGTAAAATTTGCAGCATACTTTACAGCATACATACACCCTGTTCAAAATGTTAATGGTTGTTATTTCAAGGTGGCAGCTCTTTAAGTGGCTTTCATCTCCTCCCTTACACTTTTAAATATTTTTAGAATATTTAAATGTTTTAATGTCACAAAGTTTTTAAAGCTTTTACTATGTTTTTGCACTAGTTCAATTTTTTTTAATGTCACAATTTTTTTAGTTTTTACAGAAAGTCACCAGGCCACAAGTAACATGCTTCACTGGCAGTAAGGTAGTAAGAAATCATTTCAGAGGACAAATACCACATGCTAGCCCTCACATGGAAGCACTAAAAATAGATTAAACACAGAGTATCACTAGAGATTGGGAGGGGTGAAAGGGATGGAGGGAGTTTGGATTTTAAAAAGATAGGAGAAACTGGATGTGATGCTTTAATTGTGACAAAAACATACTAATGTAAGATGTTAATAATGGGGGAAGCTGGATGCAGGGCTTATGAAAACCGCGTACGACTTTACAATTTTCATTTTATGAATGTAAAAGTATCGTGAAATAAAAAGTTTAAATAAGAAAGCCCTGAATACTGAGCACTTCCTGATGTCCCTCCCACAGAGATATAGGCCAATAATGAATAGTAATGCTGATGGTGACTTTTATGTTGGACATGTGACTGCAATATTACTCTACCTACTTTTTTTTTAAAGATTTATTTATTTTGATTATTTTATTTATTTTTATTACTATTTATTTGGGCCATCTTCCGCTATCCCGGGCCACAGCAGAGAGCTGGACAGGAAGCGCAACAGCCGGGCCCCGAACCGGCGCCCACACGGGATGCCGGCACCCCAGGCCAGGGCATCAACCCACTGCGCCACAGCGCCAGCCCCTCTACCTACTTTTTTAAAGATTATTTATTTGAAAGGCAGAGTTACAGTGAGAGAGAGAAGGAGAGACAGAGAGAGATCACATGGGATGCTGGTGCCACAGGTGGCAGCTTTACCCACTACATCACAGTGCCAGCCCCTTTACTGCTTTTTACACACCCTATTCAAGTCTCATCCTTTGTTCAAGATTAATTTGATCATAGAAGCTAACTTTTTTTTCAAAGATTTATTTATTTGAAATTCAGAGTTACAGAGGGAAAGAAGGAGAGAAAGTGAGAGAGGAAGAGAGAATGAGAGAGACCTTCCATCTGCTGGTTCACTCCCCAAATGGCCACAACAACCAGGGCTGGGCCAGGCTGAAGCCAACAACCAGGATTTTCATTGGGGCCTCACATATGGGTGAAAGGGCCCAAGCACTTGGGCTGGTTTCTGCTTGCCATCCCAGGTACACCAGCAGGGATCTGGATTGCAAGTGGAGCAGCCAAGACTCTAACAGGAGCCCACACGGACTGTTGGTGCCTCAGCCTGTGGCTTAACCCACTATACCACAGTGTGGGCCCCTAACATACTTAATGTATTCTTGGTGAACATTACTCACAAATACCAGAAGGTATCATGCCTACTGCAATTTTTTTTTCAACAGACTTTGAAGTCCCTAAGTGATCTTTGTACCAAGAATAGGCAGGGCTTCCCTCTCTGCAATTCATACCCACCACATGATGGGAAAATGTTCAAGGAATGAAGCCAATGTTAAGAATGATTTACCACCATCACTTCTTGACCTTTTGGCTAAGATCAAGTGTGATTTACCAGGCTGGCGCTGTGGCATACTAGGCTAAGCATCTGCCTGTGGTGTCGTCATCCCACCTGGGTGCCAGTTTGAGTCCCAGCTGCTCCACTTTTGATCCAACTCCCTGCTGATGGCCTGGGAAAACAGTAAAAGATGGCCCAAGTGCTTGGGCCCCTGCACCTGCATGGGAGACCCGGAAGAAGCTCTTGACTCCTGGCTTCAGATTGGTCCAGCTCTGGCTGTTGCAGACATTTGGAGAGTGAATCAGCGGATGCAAAACCTTTCTATTTGTCTCTCCCCCTGTGACTCTACCTCTCAAATAAATAAATATTTAAAAAAAAAAAAACTACCTCTTCCATTGCCAAGTGCAAAGAGCTTAAAAGTCATGGGTCAAATGGTCTCCCAGGTGGTCCTACCCTTGGTAATTGACAAATTACAATGGTTGCGCTGCTTTGTAGTCTTCATAACAGTTTGGGTGCATCATCCGCTGGCCTTAACACATTTGTTGAGTATTTAATTGTGTTGTTAGGTGTTTGGTCTTCACAGAAACCCTATTTGACACATAATGAAATGGAAGCAGAGAGATTTATAAACACAGCTAAGAAAAGCAGCAGGTGCACTAAGTCAGAATTGGCTGTCTGTATCCTTCATAGGCTGTCCAATACAAGTCCCATGAGGGCAGAGACATTTAGTCACATTCACTTTTCTAAGTCTAGAGCCTAGGACACTTGCTGGCAGAGCAAAGCTTTCAGTCCATATCCACCAGAGGAATGAATGACCCTACCCACTAAAGCTTTTCACATGCATTCCATTGAAAAACCGAAAACGATTATCAATACGAAATGTCCAGAGCCTGGGAAGAATCATAGTATCCACTTGGCTCATTATCTTTATTCCAAATTCCGTAAGTGCATTTTTCCCACAGATTAGAAGACAGCATCATTAAAATGAAAAGTAATTGCACATTCATTTTAACGAGACCTTTTATCTGCTGCACTTGCACACACATCTTTATATAAAATCCCTGAATGGAAAACAGCAGGAAGTCTCATGGCAACAGGGCCTGGGATTTGACAAGAAAAGATGAACAAGTTCCATCATTTTGTGATACAATTTACTCATGAACGTTCCAAGGAAGAGGAACTACCGGACAAGAGAAAAAGGAAAATGGAGGCAGGCAAGGAAATCATTATCTCGGTGAATCATTGATCTTTTCTGGGTGGATGGAGCTAATGAATTGACAGGCAGTTCTGGTGCACCTCCTCTTCTCGTGCTGCCTCCCACACTTTATTCACTGCTCTTCCTTTTCTCTCTTAAAATGCTCCTAGACACTCCATCATTGTGGGTGGCATTGAGAAATGCCATTATTCACTCCACACAGTACACAGTTGGGTAACCAGTGTCCTTTGGCTTCTCTCTCTTTGAGTGCCCCAATTGCCTCCTGTCCCTATTCCTTGTTCCCTTAGTCACCTCTCCCCCTGCCCTCTGCATTTCTCAGAACAGGGGCACCCGAGCACCCACCCAGTGAGCTTCTCCTCTGCCAGAAACACTTCCCTGTTTGCAAATCTGAATCTCCAGCTCCCAGTCTCTAATGCACTGTGACTTCTTCCAAAAGGGAAGGCAGATTCAGAGCTCAAATGCTGCAGAAAGGGGGGCCAGAGGAAGCATGGAGACAAGGCCACTGGTATTGTGGCTTAGCAGGTCATTGGTGGTGTGCAGAAACGTATTTCTGTGAAGTGTGGGAAGAAGTCATATTAGGAAGCTGTATATTATCCATTCGGCCCAAAAGAACAATGTGCATGGGGCCAGCGCTGTGGTGTACTAATCCTCTGCCTGCGGTGCCAGCATACCATATGGATGCTGGTTCTAGTCCTGGTTGCTCCTCTTCCAGTCCAGCTGTCTGCTATGGCCTGGGAAAGCAGTAGAAGATGACCCAAGTGCTTGGGCCCCTGCAACCACATGGTAGACCTGGAAGAAGCTCTTGGCTCCTGGCTTCGGATCCGCGCAGCTCCGGCTGTTGTGGCCATCTGGGGAGTGAACCAGTGGATAGAAGACCTTTCTCCCTGTTTCTCTCTCTCACTGTCTGTGGCTCTACCTGTCAAATAAATAAATAAAAATCTTTAAAAAAGAAAAAGAAAGAAACAACGTGCTTAACTTCTAGCCTTTCCATATTTTGACATTAATCTTCTCATTTAACCTGTTTTATCCCCACTCCTCAGTAGCACAGAATCTCAGTTCAGGTTGCATTTTTCTCCTTGCTTTCCCTACTGTTGTCACTGTTTCACCTGTTTTTGTACACTCAGCTCAAATTCACTCTCCCCTACTTCTCTCTCCTTACAACCTTCTGAATTGCTTGACACAGCAACTCCTACTGGAATCCTGCTCCATGGCATTCTCTAGTCTATTCCCTTCTTGTTCTGAACTGAATCTAATTCAAATTGACTGTACACAGTTCTTAGGGTAGGCGATTTTTGTAGATAATCTTAGTCTCTAAAAACCGGTATGGTTGGACCAGAGTATGAAGGAGCTCTCTCTATCTCTACCACGCTCTCTATCACTCCAGCTCTCAAATAAAGAAATGAATAAATATTTCTCTTTAAAAACTGAGATGGGTAAGTGTTATCTTCTCCTCCAGAATCTATCTACTGCACTATAATAAAAGTGAGACATGTCAAATTTTGTCATAGAAATATATTTATCAAACATGTTCATTAGCAAGAAGGCACATAAATATTCACACAATCTATGTGCAAGCTCCAGGAATTCTAGCTTTCTATGCTTTTAAGAAGACAGTTACCACTATCCATAAAATGTTTAATCAAGACACAATGGTAATAATTCAGGAAATATTCCAGGATTTTGTTCCCTGACAGTTGGCATGAGGAAATTGGCATGTTCTGACCTAGTTTCTGGGCCCAGGGTGATTAAAGATTAAATCTTGGATGCCATCCCTACTGGCTTTGCTAGACTGTTATATCCAGTACAAGCAAGTATGGAAGAATGGAGGAGTGTCTCTACGTTATGCTCTTCAGCCCACATGCATTGAATACCTTCAACTTCACCAGTAAGAATCTGTTTCTGACATTAGAGTATTGTTAAGCAAAGCATATGATCTCAAATTGATCCAAATTGATTTTGTTTAATAAACACTTATATAGCACTTATTATGTGACACTGCTATGCACATTTTAGCTCATTTAATCATCATAGCAGTCAATAAAAGAGGTACTAGCATTGTTAATAAGTTAGGTTCCTGAGATGTAACAAACAGTAGACAGGGGAGCCATAATTCAGAGATAGGTGGCCTGATTCCTGGATTCAGGGTCTTGGCAAGTCTCCTGCCCTTCTGGATCTCAGAAGCATTTTTTGTGGAAGTTTCCTGAAAGAATGCCTGCTGATCCAACTAGAATGCTATCTGGCTTGTAGCTTAACCTGGCTAATCAAGTTACATGTAATTCCCCAGTCTGTAATGAAGTATTCCAAGAAAATAATTAACATACAGTAGTTAGCTCTGTGCTTTATTAGCAGGTCTGTGGAGAATGCTGGTTTTTACAAAAGCTTATTTATGAATTACATAGGCTTGTAGATCTTGATTCCCTAATTCTTTGGTTTATTCCTGGAGCTGCTAACCATTTGGTATGCAAGGCATGACAGAATCGCCATTAAACAATTTGGAGTTCACCTAAACTAGCTGCTCATCTAAACTTCCCAATTCCTATTTACATCATTGCTATTAGAAGATTGTGTGGCGGCCAGCGCTGCAGCTCACTAGGCTAATCCTCCACCTAGCGGCGCCGGCACACCGGGTTCTAGTCCCGGTTGGGGCGCCGGATTCTGTCCCGGTTGCCCCTTTTCCAGGCCAGCTCTCTGCTGTGGCCAGGGAGTGCAGTGGAGGATGGCCCAAGTGCTTGGGCCCTGCACCCCATGGGAGATAAGTACCTGGCTCCTGCCATCGGATCAGCGTGGTGCGCACCGGCCGCGGCGGCCATTGGAGGGTGAACCAATGGCAAAGGAAGACCTTTCTCTCTGTCTCTCTCTCTCACTGTCCACTCTGCCTGTCAAAAATAAATAAATAAATAAATAAATAAATAAATAAATAAATAAATAAAAGAAGATTGTGTGGTCTTTGCTAGAATAATACCCATGCACTCTCCTGGGGCAGTCATCTTCTTGGTATACATTTATTTCTGACTGAGAGAAAGTTCTTTCTTATGTTAAGTAGGAATTTTTTCTGAAAACACTCACTGAATTTATTATAGTTCTATATGACCATTAGGGGGTAGAACGAATAAGAATAAATTATGGCCCAAACAGAACAGTAAGACATAAAAGACATAATGTTTCCCAGTGTTATCCATTGCCCTCATGAATCTGCGGCTCATGGTGTAGAGTTCATCGTTATGAGGGTAAAGACTCCACATGCCCAAGAATGCAAGAGTCAGAGAAAAGGGGTGGAGGAGGACTGCTTTAGTCAAAAAGGGTTTGGAAGAAGTGGTATTCACATCACCAGGTTCATAGTAATCAAATGACAACTTTTGTTGATAGATGGATTGAGCTGGTCTTTGGCAACTTGTTGTATAAGCATGGTTAGTTTAATCAGAATTCCTGATGCCTACTTCTCATTGATCATGGTTCAAGATCCAGCTGTGGAAATGCACCCAACGGTGGCTAATTGCTCATTTCCTGGCAGTTTGAGGCAAAAATACAAGCTTTGGGTGACTGATTCACATTTCTGAGTCTTCTCCCAGTGAGCTGCTGATTTTGAATTGCACGTTGCTGATTGCTTAGTGCATCACACAGACATAGGCTGCTGTGCATGCCTGGATAAACAAGTCACAGATTTGTCATAGTTAGAAAATCCAAGTCTTTACATTGATAATAAGAATATGGAAATAATTTATGAACAAGAATGCTTACGCGACACTTCACAAGTATAAACATTCAATACTTTGGACTTAGATTCACGCAGTACCCTTTGTATGAATGGAGATTCACAAAAATGACACTCCTAAACTCCAACATTGATAAATACTAGATCTGATCTCAGAGTTCAGATTTTGACACACCCAGTTCAAACAGCAAATCTGCATGTGAAAATGGGAAATTTTTGCTCTGTACACTTAAGATCCATGCATTTCACTGTGTATAAAACATGCATTGGGAATGCGGCGCCATGGCTTACTTGGTTAATCCTCCACCTGCAGTGCCAGCATCCCATATGGGTACCGGGTTCTACTCCCAGTTGCTCTTCTTCCAGTCCAGCTCTCTGCTGTGGCCTGGGAGGGCAGTAGAGGATGGCCCAGGTGCTTGGGCCCCTGCACCCTCAAGGGAGACCAGGAAG